ACTGAACATTATCTAGAATCAGTTGCTCATCAACAATATTTTCAACAACAGGAATAACAACTGACCTTTCATCTTTAGCTAACCAATCCCAGGAACCATATTCATCAAAAGTGACATCACGACTCATAACAACCTTTTTAGTTTTAGGATTGTATAGTTTATAAGCCTTTGTAGCGTCACTATAACCAATGAATATACACTTCTCACCTTTATCATCCAACTTCTTTCTCAATTGATCTGGCACATGTGCATATGAACTGGTAGTATGACTAGTTCAACAGGAGTAGAAGTAATACCTTTCACTAACATAGTTTGAGTAACTGGCAATTGATCCTTCTCGTAGCCTAGACCAACTTTGAAATGGCTCTTCCAGTCTTAATCCAAAATTTTATCCAATGTCGAGGTAGTATCCATCATCCTCACATTTTTCTTTAGATCTTCTAGTTCTTTAGTCAGTTTGCCTTCTCTGGTGCGTATCTGATTGATCAGATCATCCTTAATAACATATCAGCCTTCAATTTCTTTACGGTTTCCTCATTAAGTTGAATTTAACCATTCAGCATCTTGTTTGCTTTGACAAGCATATCCCACTTAGCAACAAGCTTAGCATACTCTTCTATCAATCGATTATGCATCTCTTCAAAGTCATTAGATGATTCATAACCTTCAGATCTAGAGTTTGACAAATCAGCACTATGAGCAGTGAATGCAACAAAATTTCTTGATGGATCTTCTTCAGTCTCCGATGGATCAGTCTCTTCATGTGCATCATCACTCCAAGTAACAACACTCAAGGTTTTCTTCCGTTTGAGATAGGTAGGACACTCAGATTGTTTGTGGGTGTAACCTTCACATTCATAACATTGGATTCCTTTGCTTGAACTCTTACCATCACTTAATGAAGAATTTTTAGACTATCTAGTGCGAGAAGATTGACTAGGCTTTGAACCAGATGAATTAGACTTTGATGTGAATTTCGTACCTTGACTGAAATTGGATTTATTCACATGATTTCAACTAGTTTGACTTTGTCCACAATGTTTGAATCTCTTCAGAATCTTCTTCAAATTCTCAAATAGTAAATCTATGGTTTCATCGTCCAGATCTTCAGTGTCAGACTCATTATCAGTTTCAGCGGTGAATGCGACAGATTTTCCTTTCCTCGAAGAAATGGGGTTATCTTTGGCAAGAACTTGCAGTTTGCTTGTAATACTAATAAAGAATAAAGTGTTTGTTACTTATTAGGAAAATTGTAATACTTTTGAGAAAAAATATTTTTAAATCAAAAGTATTACACTTTCCTTTATAAGTAATGTTGATAAGTGTCTATTACTTATAAGAGAAAATGTAATACTTATGAGGAAAAATGTAATAATTTTAAATCAAATTATAAATGTATTATATTTTTCTTCAAAATATTACAGTTTCTCATATAAGTAATAAACTTTATTCCTAATTAATATTACATTTTTAATATAAATATTATATTTTCATCTTGACCCAACCCATCTCACGGATAATGATTCGTGAGACCGTGGCACTGAGTTTTTTCCTAAATACTTTTATTTTTCATCCCACTAAATAAAATTTAATTTCGGGATGTGCCCTGTTTATAAGCAAAAGGGAGAATCAAAACTAGATTTTGGGCCTAGCAAGAGAGGCAATAACACAGGGCCTCAATTTTTAGAGGGTCCAATATTTATTTTTGACTTAGCTACTTAAGAAATAAAAAAAAAAAAAAAATCTACAATTAATCCTAAAACTCATAAGTTTTTTCCCAAATCACTTTTATCTCCTAATAATTAGGACTTAATTAATTGAGGACAACAAAACCATTCTATTTCCCCAGTCTCAAGCCTTGAATCTACAGAGATAACTTGAAACTTGTACCATTCACCACCAATAGCACCTGCGAAATTAATCCAACAACACCCTTCATCTCACCTTCCACAAACTCATTACCCGTCATCATATTCAATCTCCACAAATTACAACGCCAATAATCACCGCCAATGCATCAAACACAATAATAGATATAGATTATTGGCACTAAGAATCCACCCCGTGATCAACGTAATTCCTGCTGCAGCTGTTACATCGAACGCCGCCGCCACCGCTTCGGTGGAGAACACCTGGCAAATCATCCTTGGGGCTCAGGGCTATTGGTACGTATGCTACTTTTAATTGCTCTAGCTTTAATTTAAATTGGCAGTAAATTAATGTAAAAACTGTGATTTTCATATTTAGCTGGTGTTACACCTTTCATACTTATTTGAAGTAAAATTTATATATTTTACGGTATAGATTTTAAAAATTATATTTATAATTTTGATAGGGCCTCATTTATTTATAAGAACGGAGTCACAAAAATTTAAAAATGGCACTGTGGAGAATGACATACAATAAAGTTCTGCTTTTTATTGTAGGTATAGATTTGCTCATATTAAGCTAACATGACATAGTCAGCGGTCTATCTTCATTATAATACTGCTCCAAATGGATACCAAGCCTAGTTTATAAGCTGTCTGCTTTCAGAGGACCACTAAAATTGAGAAAGACGTTTGGAACACGCCCCAAGAAAGTGCTCAAAAGTACAATAAAATTATCTAATTAAGTGGCCAACGTTAGACCAGAAAAAGGGGAGTTGAGGAAAATATCTAATGATATGTTAATATATACACATGAGGATTTTATTTTAAATTTCTTTTTCTTGTTGATTTTATGACCCAGATAGTTAATCGCTCACGAATACAATTAGAGTATATTTTAAAATTAGAAAAACGACTTTTAAAAAATGAGTTATTTTTTAAAAAATATCTTATATCTATTGTTCGGTTGCATTTTTAAAATTGTTTTGATGATACTATTATGAGTTGTTACACCATGGATTCTAGTTCTAAACGACATATAAATTATGTATTTTAGTATTGAAATTGTGAATTTTTAGAATATAAATTGTGTTTATAAGTCAAAACTTATAACAACTGTAGAAGGGAATTTGTGAATACAATACAAGGTGATCAAATCCTAATCTGTTCTGTTAATATTGTGTGACTGCAGTATTTGAAAGGAACTTGTGAATACAAAACAAGGTAATCAATTACATATATGTTAACATTGTGTGTTCGTAGTATACAAATTGTGAATCTTTAAAAGGTAAATTGTGAACATTTGGACCCAAGTCTACAGAATAATTTGCATACTGTTATTGTTTTGAGAATAAAGAAGATTGTATGTCCAACGTGGGCATCATGCACCGCGGTGCATAATCGATTATGCACCGCGGAGTGTTAACGGAGTGACACTACAGTGTACTTAAATCGACACTGCCTCACGTATTATTTTTATATTATCAAATGAAACTGCAATTATATCAAAATGATACTTTAGTTGTAGTGAAATGAAACTGCAGTATATATAAAATGAAACTGAATAACATTTCACATATTTGAGTGTATATTGTACAATGATCTGTAATTATATCTAAATGGTCATGTAGTTGTGTTTTAATGAAACTATAGTGTATATAAAATAAAATTAAATAACATTTTCACACATTTGAGTGTATAAATATTGAATGAAACTGTAGTTATATCGAAATGAAATTGTAGCTGTGTTGAACTGAAACTGCAGTGTATACAAAATGAAACTGAAGAACAGAGTTATTTTTTTGCGGATTCCATTAAATAAAACGACGTCGTTTTGATGCGTGGTGCATAATCGATTATGCACCGTGGTGCACGATATAATTTGTCTTTCTTGTGCGCATTGGCATTTGGCCTTGTCCGCTGAACCATTGAGTCACCGTGATTTACATCCTTCCAAATACTCTGTCGGGCTGGGGTGTGGAGGGCCCTTAGGGTTGGAGATTCAACCTTTTGGGAGAAGAGAATAAAGAAGATTGTATGTTTTACACGTTTTTTAAAAATATTTGTATATTTAAAATTACCAATTAAGTGCCCGAATGAAATATGAAAAGTAAATCCCTTCAACCAAAGGAATTGACTATAAGTTGATCATCCAAAACAATAAGAAAAATGATATCTTAAAAATTTTCCAGCTACACTTTTCATAAATAAAATAGAGCTAAGTGTCTCCAAATTTTATACTTCACTAAACTTAGACCGATCACTCAAATCGAGTTCAAATATTAGTCCGCATATATCCAACCCATCAACCTTCACATCATTAGGAATTGCCGGCAGACTTGAATTTGGAATCTGCTCATGTTTAGTTCCATCCTATAACTTGGTAGGAGTGCTTGTCATGATCTACTTAAGCTTATCCTTAGCTTATGCGTCTCATCAAATATTCATCTTAATATACTTTATTCCCACCGAATTACAATTCATTTCCCTCATAATTCTTTCCTTCTAGCAAAATGCCATGTAATAGTAGACGGAAAATGGATGCAATTCAAATTTCTGTCCACCTTCGATTGCTGGACTGGAAAAGCATGTTTGCATGAGAATAATGAATTCATACTTATATGTATTTTTTCAAATTTGAAGATAGAAAATTCATACTAGGTATATTTTTCAAATTTGAAGATAGAGAATGAATAATGAAAAATTAAAAAATAAAAATTAAAGATTTTTTTTTTTAAATAGTCATATTCGATTGTCAATTTTGTAACTAAAAACGTTTAATTGACAAGTTGAGAGAACAACGGTGTTTGGAAGAGACACAATTGGACCATATGCAAAAGAATAAGCAATGGTTTGGGTTCCATCACGGTGCCGTTTGTCGGTCAAGTCGTCCACGATAAGAAAGCATTATTACATGAATAATCTCAGCTAAAATAACTAAGGATATAAACTTGTAATCACAAAAATCACGAGTTCTAATCCTAGTCATTTTGGTTTGAGTCGATCATATATGAACAATTTAAGCTAGTTTATCTCCTTGTAGTTCTTTTGACGGTTAGATCACAAGACAAAACTTACTTAATATACACTCTCAAATAATAGCTACAAGTTTTTCACTCCTAAAAAAAAAAAAAAAAAAAAAAAGCATTGTTACACACTTTTGTGAAAGCAATAAAGTTGGTATCTATCAGATCCGATCCATATATGTCTACGCAAGTCACCGCTACTATACAAACAATATTGTCAGCTCCAATAACGTAAGATATTTTCATTCATCACAGACAAAAGCAAATCATGTGCACCAAAAAGGTCGATACCACTGTTGGGTGAAGAAGATATTTTGATCCAGATATTTTATATACCTGTCCACAATATTTTCTAGTACATCCAATCCAAAAAAAAAAATTGAAAATTAAATGCCAAATTCAATTATCTGTCTGTCTGTCTACAATTTATCTCTCCTTCTACTAATCTCCGTCAGAAGCCTTCCTTACAAATCGACCCTAAAACACAAGAAGAGCAAACATATTAAAACAGAAACAAAGAAAATTAATATTGCTTATATATACTTTATTTTGCCTTTAGTTTTGATTAGAGTTTAGGAGACTAAATTGATTTATTTTTTTAAAAAAGATTAAATTTATAAGTGGAGAATAATTATATGTATATACCTTGAGTCTAGGTCTTTTTTCTGCATTAAGCTTGCGGACTTGGTATCTAATCTTCTTGGAGAAAAGTCTAGTTTGGCGTTTTTCTTTGTACCTCATCACACTAGCTTCCCTTCTTGTGGATCTCTCTTCATTATCCATCACAGGCACCTCTCCCATCTGTGAGTAGTGAACGAACTCAAGAAGATCAGATCAGATTAATATAAATAATTAATGAATGAAAGAATTGAATTGAATTGAAGATGAAGGGATTAATTAGTGCTAACATAAGAATGGTTGTTGGGATTATTGGGTAATGAAAATGCAGTCTTATCGCGTGCCCAGAGAGTGCGACGGTCGGACCATGCATCGAGGACGTGTTGATAATTCAAGCTCAAATTTAAGGATGCCTCCATCTTCATCTCCTGGTGATATTCATCGTCATCGTTATCTTGTTCTTGTTGTTGGGAAAGAATGGGTTTTTGATCGCCGGAATCTTCATTAACAGACGACAGGCCGCCGTCATGGTCGGAGCTCGTGAACTCAAAATCCCAATATGCACCGCTACCAGTACGATGACCCGCCGCCGGCGGATCTACTACTGGTTTGCCGGCCTCCACCGCTTGCGAGTTTTTAATATCGTCTTTATCTCCGGCGTCGGCTGGGATGGCGAAGAGGCTGCCGTCGTCGTCCAACTCCATGTCATCCATAAATGATGAAAAGTAGTCTTTGTTGGGATGATGAAGGTCCACCGTGTGGTTGCTTTCACGGTGGCAGTGATTATCAGAGACGACACTGCTACATGTAATAATGTCTGGGTCAGGAACCTCTTGCTCTTCCTTCTTTGGACTCCATGGCATGCCCCAGTTACGCCCCATCTTTTTCTTTACCTCTTTCTCTCTCTCTCTCTCTTTCTCTTTCTCTCTCACCTTGGATGATACTATTATTATGCATGAACAGGAAATTTTTAGTATATATATATATACTAGCATTTTGTAAGGTGTCCAATATTAAGAGTGATAAATATTTTATTTTTGAATGCTACTAGCTCTATTATGAGTGATAAATATAAATCATAATAAACTTAAAAATGCTCTGTATGATCACTCAATGTTAGCATAATGCTAATTATATTCTATGACTTCTTTATAAGTTAATATAAACATTACCTCTTAATATAAGCATTACCTCTAACAGCTAAGAGTTTGGAGTTGACACGCCTGTCACTCCCACTCATCAAAATAGCCAATAGATAGTCACATCACAGAAATATTCCAATAACTTAGACAATAAACCAAAGATCTAAGTCTATAAATTTGGAATCTTAAACATACACCATAACTTCCCAAATAACTAATAAATGAACTAAACATAATGAGTCTTATATGTCTCACAAAATTGTCTTCAGCCTTACAAACCAAAATAGCCTGAGAATAAACATTGGGTTAGTTCATAAAGGACCCAAGTTGGAGAATTAAAATGCATGCGACCATAATGGATACTACTCTGATTAAATAGAGGACTTGTCACTATGATTCTTGTGTTTTGTTATTTGGCGAGGGTTGTACTAGTACTTGCACCAAGTGGGAGAATGTAAGATTTTCCCAAATAATATATATTATATATTATATATTATATATTATATATTATATATTATATATTAGGGCATTAATTAAGTGATGCAAGTTGACTAGGCTTATTAAGTGCTCTAGTTTGAATAACTAGAAGTTGTTATTCAACCAGACTCTGTGCCTAATATAAACCTGGACAGGGCGTTTGGTTGGAGAGGGGGAATTACGTGGTAAAGGAATTGCAATTCCATGGGAGATGAATTACTGGGAATAAAGTGGAAATTTAAATTCCAGTGTTTGGTTCAGAAGAATATAATTACTTGGAATTTCAATCCCAATGTTTGGTATACATGGGAATTGAAAGGGAATAAGTAGTATAAAGTCAAAAATGTCCATTGTTGTTGTTTTAATTTTAAGTTAAAAAGGGGAGGGGTAATTTTGACTCATCACTATCTTTTTTTCTTCCTAAAATTCCAGGAATTAAAATCTCAGGGGTGCAGATGAGGTATGTTCTGGATACTTATTCTAAGGCATCGGGACAATGTGTTAACTATGATAAGTCTACTGCGTGTTTTAGTGCAAATGTCCAACAGAATGTGCGGAACGAGGTGGTGGAGGTTTTGGGGGTGGAGGAAGGGGTTACGAGTGGAAGGTATTTAGGACTTCCCTCACTTATTGGCAGAAGAAAGAAGGAGATTTTGGGTTTTATCAAGGACCGAATACTTGCTAAAATAAGATCATGGAGTGCAAGGTTTCTGTCGAGAGCAGGTAGGGAGGTTTTGTTGAAGAATGTGATTCAGGCAATGCCCACTTTTGCAATGATGATATTTTTGTTACCCATGGGACTCTGCCGTGAGATTGAGACATTGATGAATCAGTATTGGTGGACTGGCAGTGTAAGAGGGAGTCGGGGCATCCGATGGCGCTCTTGGGAAGGGTTGTGTAAGCCGAAAGTTTGTGGTGGTTTAGGGTACCGGAGATTACATGAGATGAATAAAGCGTTGCTTGGGAAGCAGGCTTGGCGTTTGGTAACCAGGCCACTGTCTTTGGTGGCTTGGGTTTATAAAGCACGTTATTACCCGAGGTGTGGTTTCTTTGATGCAACGGAGGGTAGTAATCTCTCTTACATTTGGAAGGGTATTATGGCGGTACAGGGGGTGTTGAGGGAGGGGTGTAGGAGGGTGGTAGGAGATGGGGCTGACACGATCATTGGTTTGGATCCTTGGTTGCCTGATGACGACAATCCTTATGTGGAAACGGAGCTGCACCAGTCTGTCTAGGGAGCTCGGGTATCGTCTTTGATGAATGTGCAAGGTACGGGTTGGGATTTAGATTGTGTTAATGATATTTTAAATTCCCGTGATGCAAGTTTGGTTATGAATATTCCAGTTAGTTGCCGCAGGCCTATTGATCGTTGGACTTGGCACTGGGATACGAAAGGGGTGTATTCTATTAAGTCGTGCTACAAACGGATTACCATGGTTGCTTCTGATGATCAGCCTTGGTCAAGTATATGGAGTTTACATGTTCCCCCCAAGGTAAAATGTTTTTGTTGGCAATTGGCTTTTGCGTATCTTCCCACACGTGATGCGTTGGTTACTAGAAGGGTAGCTTGTTCACTTGATTGTCATATGTGTAGGCTTGCTGCCGAATCGGTGATCGATCTCTTTGTCAATTGTACTGAAGCCAGGCGGATATGGAACCTCGTGGGTGTGCCACAGCTGAATGCTTATGCAGGTGATAATATCTCTGACTGGTTTTTTTGGTGTGTTAGTAAGTTGTGTGCTGACTCTTTGCCAAGATTTGTGATGGTATGTTGGGGATTGTGGACAAGCAGGAATGATAGTGTCTGGAAGGGCATTGCGCATAGTTCAGCTTTGGTGGTGCAGCGTGCCCTTGATTTTCTGGAAGGGTGGCGTGGGGCGAATCAGGTACACCGTGTGAATGGGGTAGAGGACACTGTGAAGTGGAAGAAGCCGCGAGTGGGCAGGTATAAAATCAATACTGATGTTTCTGTGCGGCAGGAAGAAGGGCGGATGGGCTTGGGGTGGGTACTGCGTGATGATAGTGAGGGGGTTCTTGGCGACTAAGAATGTGCTTGTAACAGGGACTTATTTGGTGAAGGAAGCTGAGGCCTTGTGCGTTAGGGAGGCACTTAGCTGGCTTAAGAGTACAGGACTGGGACGTGTGGATGTGGAAATGGACTCGCAACTTGTGTATAATGCTATTCGTTCTGTGTCTTTTAATTTAGCTTTTGGTTATTTAGTGGATGACGTAAAGGATTTAGCATCTGAAATTGAGGATGTTGAATTCTATTTTGTTAAGCGATCTGCGAATCGTGCCGCTCACTGTGTTGCTAGGGGGGCCTTTTCTTTGTCAGGTTGCGGGGAGTGGCTTGACTCCCCTCCATCCTTTCTTGTAAACGTTCTCCATTCTGATTTAATGAATTAAGTTTACATTCTCCAAAAAAAAAAAAAAAAAAAAAAATCTCAGGGGTGGACATGGAATTTTAATTCCATGGAATTGCAATTCCTTTCAACCAAACAAGGAAATTCTGTGGCCTTTGGAATTAGATGAGAATTAAGTGGGAAGGAAATTTAAATTCCCTTCAACCAAACACCCTGGGATTGATGGGATTCAAAATATTCATTATATAGCATAAAGTTTTAGTACTCATACTGCTCAGAAAATACCAGTGCACCATCTAAGGTTCTAAGTCAAGTATGAGACAAAACGGCTAAACCTATTCTGCAGATCTACCGTTCAAGAGACAATACAACAGGATATCAACTATGGCCGGAGAGGCAATACAACAGGATATCAACTATGGCCGGAGATCTACAGTGTTTCCGCTTCCGCTGCTACGAGTTAAGTTTCTCGTAGATTATACTCTATATATTTAAATTTCACATTTTCATAAATATGTTGCACAACCAAATGTTCAATAATTTGAACTTATGAATTTATGAGAACAAATACAAGATTAATACTAGTGGAATCTTTTGGACTTGTTGTTTGACATACAATCCAATTAGAGATGTATGAAGACAATAATTAAATCCATAAACTTTAATGGGGCATCTTAATGATCTTTTTCTAAAGATCACTCCCACTGATTAAGATATATTCTTCAGCGAAATTAATAAAATGAACTTAATAATATACATACCCATAATTGATATGACCAACTAAATAATGAAGTTATAATTCCCTACCATTAGTTGGGCATACTAAATAATCAATTTATGGTTCCAATTAATGTCAAACTAAATAATGAAGATATAATTCCTCACCATAGTTGGACATACTAAAAAAAAAAACACACACACACACACAAAATACATCTTTCAAAATCAAGTTAGAATTTGGCTCAAAAGATACATTTTAGTATTAATGAAATCCAAAAGAGGTATGTCAAATCACGTAACTTACTGCAGTTAGCCCGAAGAACTAAGCAAGCTTCATGGATTAATTAATAAAAGTACGTAGCTAAATTTTGGGAAGTGACTGAAAACATGTTTTGCCATTGCAAACCATGAAACTTAGAATTATAATTGAGCTAAATTTATAAATTCTAAGAATTGTGATAAAATTATTATCTAATGGGTTGAGGAATTTATTGACATAAAACCTGCCTGTGGGCTAAAATTTTAATTCTATTAAATCCAATTAAACCCTTATGATAATATTTTTCACAATTACTAAATAGACAGAAGAACCTAGTGACATAAAACTTGCCTGTGAGCTAAAGTTAAAGTTTTACTCAATTAGATCCAACTGAAAAATTTATTTATGATGAAACAATTATCAAATGAGTTGAAGAATCAAGTGACATAAAACTTGTTTGTAGGCTAAAGTTTTATTCAATAAGATTCACTACAACCATTATATATATGCAAATAATATATGTATTATAAACCAACTTGGTTGGCGTGAGTAGTCGTGCACTCTTATCCCTTAAGAGAGGTCGGAAGTTCTGATACGAACGAGAATTAGTCTGGTAATACTGTTAAAGCGGGCCGAAACTCACAGGCTGGCCTACACCCGCCCTGCGGCGGGGCGGGTTAGGGTCATGAAATAAAAATCCGTAGTACGCTGTTGTGTAACATATATATATATATATATATATATATATATATATATATATATATATATATATATATATATATATATATATAGAAGAGCGCTCATATGCGGCGGGGTCTTACGGTGCGGCGGTGCGGTCAAATTCCAGAATACACCAACAGTGTTAACAATATGCACCAACAGTGTAATAAAAACACACCCCAATGAAATGTAATAAAACATCACAAAATACACCACAGACTCAAAAAAACACACCATATAACTCACCACCCCCAATGGTGTATTTCCGAACAGTGTATGGTGTTTTTACTCACACCTAATGGTGTGTGTTTGGT